ATAATAATAATCAATAATTATAATCATCATAAAATTATAATCATAATCAAAACAATAATAATCATAAATAAAATAATCATTATCAAAATAATAATAATAATAATAATAATAATAATAATAATAATCATAAATTATAACAATTATAATCATTATCATGTTCATGTTAATATTACAGCATAATAAAAATAGCAAGATCCTAGGCATGATACTAACAAGATTAATAACAAACCCTAGCATGTCACTAAGCAATAAAAATCAAATCTTTAACCCTAACATGATACTAACAATCATAAATATTAGGAAGAGAATAGGAAGCATCACAACAATCATATTTAATATTAAAATTACCCTAGACATGATACTAGGAATATCATAATAACAATATAAACATGATTTCTACATCATAAATCAATTAATCAATTAAAGTACTTACTTTGATGCCTCGTACCTCTTTCTAATAACAAAATACACGCGTTAGTAACTTCAAGAAAAATAATAAACAAAACAATTAAATTAAATAATTGAAAGAGAGATTTGGGACCAAACCCTCAGAAATTAAACCTTTCACGCCTAGGGCGAAGGCAACTTCGAATATGGCTAGGTGTTTCTAGATCTTGTGAATGCGGAATTTTGTATGAAAAAGCAAGAAAGAATTGAATGCTAAAGAATACTTGAGAATGAGAGAATTGGTGAATAGGTAGATGTAGATGATGAATTCGTTTATGAAAACGGAGTTTTTAATACGGTATTTATAGAGAAAATCAGCCAAAAAAGATAATTTAACAAAACAGAGTCTGAAGATCGCAAAACAGGATTGGCGCCAACCCTGGCTAGCTGGCGCCAGGCACCAGTGGCTAGCGCAAGGCGCCAATGGCTAGCGCCTGGCGCCAAGCCTGGTTCCAGGCGCCAAGGCCTGGGGTTGGACGCCAGTCTTGATTTCAACGCGTTTTCAAAAATCTGATAAATTTCTAGTACTGGAAGATAAAATAATATAATTTCTTCGAAAATGCTATTTGATCTTGATTAGAACTCTAAAAAGTCAACAAAGTCAACTTATCAATGCTAATTGGATTAGGAATGAAAAGAACCTTCTAGAAGACTAAAACCATTCCTAATTGCATTAGGAATGATAAATCATATTAGGCCCTCCCCTAGATCATTAGGCCGTACATAAAGCTCAAACCGGACCCAGTTTAGTAAATTGGCCATAACTCCCTCAATATTCATCGGAATTGGGCTTATAATATATCGTTGGAAAGGTCTTTGCAAGCCCTATCCAACTACACCACTATTGGACCCATATCATGGATCAACCAAACTGGATTGGCTGTTTTCTTAAAATAAAGTTTTCCAAAACAGGGTGAAGAGAAAAGAAATAAAACTTTCCGCAACACTAGACCTTTCCACACTTTCGTTTCATTCGATTATGATTCGACGTGAAAGGTACTCATCATCGGGTTTGGTTTTGGGGAGACACAAATGAGTGTCTACAGCAAGCAAAATAGAGTCTCTTTTAAGAGACACCCTCCTTCTAGAAAGTCGGGTTTGCTTGACCTTGTTCATTCTGATGTTTGTGATCCTTTCATGGTCAAAAGTTTTAGTGGTGCACTTTACTTTGTTACCTTTATTGATGATTGTTCAAGAAATCTGTGGGTTTATGCTTTGAAAAACAAAGACCAGGTGCTTGATACTTTTAAGAAATTTCAAGCTTTGGTTGAAAGGCAAACAGGTAGAAAGTTGAAGTGCCTCCGTAATGACAATGGTGGTGAATACATTGGACCACTTGATGACTATTGCAAGTCACAGGGTATACGGCATCAGTTCATGCCAAAGAAGACTCCACAGCTGAATAGCGTAGCAGCGAGAATGAACAAAACTTTGTTAGAGAGGATTCGGTGCATGCTTTCAGAGGCAAAATTACCGAGTAACTTTTGGGGTGAAGCTTTGTTTACAGATACACATGTGATTAATTTGTCTCCTTGTGTTCCTTTAGATGGTGATGTTGCAGATAAAGTTTGGCTAGGCAAGGAGGTTTCCTATAATAATTTGCGTGTCTTCGGGTGCAAGGCATTTGTGCATGTTCCAAGTGATGAAAGATCAAAACTGGATTCAAAGACTCGCCAATGCATCTTTGTGGGCTATGGTTTGGACCAGTTTGGTTACAGGTTTTATGATCCTGTAAAGAAGAAATTGATTCGAAGCAGGGATGTGGTATTTGTCGAGGATCGGACAATTGAAGACATCCAGAAGGCTGAAGAATCTACATCTCACAGTAACGATGATTTGGTTTATTTGGATATACCTCCTTTGACTCCTACACCTACACCAGCTGAACAGGTGCAAGATAATGATAACGGGGTTAATGTTCCCAAGGTAGATGATGATGTTGATAATGATGATGGTGATGCAGTTGAGCTTGATGACCAGGGTTCAACTGAAGAGCAACCAGATCCTTTGAGACGGTCTATCAGAGAACGACGACCTTCCACGAGGTACCTTCTTCTGATTATGTTCTCCTAACTGACGGGGGAGAACCTGAGTCCTATGAGGAAGCCATGGATAGTGATGACAAGTAGCATTGGTTAGATGCAATGAAAGATGAAATGAAATCATTGCATGATAACCATACTTTTGATCTTGTGAAGCTACCGAAGGGTAAGAGAGCTTTGAGGAATCGTTGGGTTTATAAGTAGAAACAAGATGAGAATGCTAAGAAACCACGATACAAAGCAAGACTTATTGTCAAAGGCTGCAACCAGAAGAAGGGAATAGACTTTAAAGAGATTTTTGCACCAGTTATCAAGATGTCCTCCATTAGAGTTGTTTTGGGTCTTGCTGCTAGCTTGAATTTGGAGATTAAGCAGTTGGACGTGAAGACCGCGTTTCTTCACGGTGAGCTTGAGGAAGACATATACATGGAACAACCATAGGGCTTCAAAGTCAAGGGGAAGGAAGAGTATGTGTGCAAATTGAAGAAGAGCTTGTATGGCCTAAAACAAGCTCCAAGGCAATGGTATCGCAAGTTTGACTCCTTTATGGGGGAGCAAGGCTACAAGAAGACTTCTTGTGATCATTGTGTCTTCTTGAAAAAAATTTCTGACAATGATTTTATCATTTTGCTACTTTATGTTGACGACATGCTTATTGTAGGGCAAAATGTGGATAGAATTGTCAGTTTGAAGCAACAGTTAAGTAAGACTTTCTCTATGAAGGAACTCGAGCCAGCAAAGAACATTTTAGGCATGAGGATCATCCGTGATCGTAAGGCTCGAAGGTTGTGGTTGTCATTGGAAGCATATATTCAAAAGGTGCTTCAAAGGTTCAACATGGAGAAAGAAAAACCAGTGAGTACTCCTCTAGCTTTGCATTTTAAGTTGAGTTCTCAACAAAGTCTATCTACATCGGAAGAGAAGGAAAGTATGATGCATATTTCATATGCTTCAGCAGTGGGTAGCTTGATGTATGCAATGGTTTGCAGTAGGCCCGATTTAGTTCATGCAGTTGGTTTGGTTAGTCGTTTTCTCTCTAATCCGGGAAAGGAGCATTGGAATGCTGTGAAATGGATTATGAGATATCTACGAGGTACTGCAGATATGAAGCTATGTTTTGGGAGTGATAAGCCTATTCTTGTTGGCTACTCAAATTCAGATATGGCAGGTGATATAGACTCGAGGAAGTCTACTTCGGGTTATTTGATCACTTTTGCAGGGGGAGCAGTTTCTTGGCAATCTAGATTACAGAAGTGTGTGGCATTGTCCACAACTGAGTCAGAGTTCATTGCAGTGACAGAGGCATGTAAGGAGTTGTTATGGATGAAGCGGTTTGTTCGTCAACTTGGATTTACACAAGAGATATGTGTTGTATTGTGATAGTCAGAGTGCTATTCATCTTGCTAAGAATTCTACCTTTCATGCAAAGTAAAAACACATTGATGTGAGGTATCATTGGATACGAGATGTTCTTGATGCTAAGTTCCTTGAGCTTGAGAAAATTCATACCGATGACAATGGCTCCGACATGATGACTAAGGCATTGCCAAGGGGCAAGTTTGAGACTTGTCGTTCGATTGCCGGAATGGAAACCACCTCCACATAGTCGGGAGGGGGAGAATTGTTGGTCTATGGGTCCCTTCCTATGTGGAGAAAGCCCATTTAGATGTTGTGTTAGCTTTTGGGGCAACTAGTTAAGTTTTAGCCCAAGTGATGTTAGAGCTTCTTTGAAAAGCTACTACTTGTTAACTTTGTGGTGCTTTTGCCGTGGGAATTGGATGAGCAACAAAGCCTTAAAAATACATTTATTTTCTTCCAGCCATTGTGAGTAAATGAGAGTGGGAAGTAGTTGGGAAGCGGAGTGAAAAATACAGAGTGTTTCAAAGTTCATCCATTTCACGTTCTTCATTGCATAGCTCCAGAAATCAGCCCCGATCAAAGCTCATCCATGGTCCGATTTAGCTCAAATTTTGACAGCTTGTCCGAGACATCTAGGGATTTGTTTTCAACGGTCGGATTGTCTTTTGCTGATACTGTTCGTGAGTTACGGCCTCTGGACAGAACTCTGTTTTTCTGGTGATATTCTTCCATTTTTCCTTCATTACTTTGTTCTTATGATTGTTGTTGTTTGGGTAAATTGAGTACCCAACTTTTAGACTTGGAATTGTGTTTTTGTAACATTCCTTACATCAATAAGAAAAAATTTGGGTGGACTCCTAAAGTCCCGTGGTTTTTACTCTTCACATCGAAGAGGTTTTCCACGTAAAAATCGTGTGTCCTTGCTCGTTATTTGCCATATATTTCTTCCTTTGGCGTGTTAATATTTCTGGTTGTGTGTTGATCTTGGAGATATATCATATAGCTTGGTTTAAGTGTGACCTTTGAACAAACTAGTAGCTTGTGTGTGCTTGTGGTTTGTTTGTTTGGTCGATTGATTATTCCGCAAGAGGTGTGTTTATCCTCAACATCGAAGACTTAAAAAGACTCCCCATAAACTGATAAGGACAAGTGTTAGCAAGACTCCCCATAAACTGATAAGGACAAGTGTTTATCTGTATTTTCTGGTAAATTAAATTGAATTACACCATTTAATATCAAAACTACCATATTCTTGGAAGAAAACAAAACCGAGGGAATAGGAAAGCAATCCTTAGAATCAGGGAGATCCGATTCAATAATGATCTGCTCTACGTTTCGGCCACAAACTTCTCGGAAACATGCTTCTGCAACACTAGGTTTACATAACTTGGACGGCGAACGTAACAGAAGTTTGAAAACACGGAGTGTCTGAGATGTCAGTTGTCGAACGATGTCGACAACAGCGTTGGAGATTATGTTTGAGGCTAGTTCGGAAACGTAAAGTCCATCATTATCGAATTTGAAAGAGGTGACACCAGTCCAAAGGTAGCGCCTTCGATGGGATAAGACGGAGGTGGCAACGGCGGAATTGATTTTGAGACGAGAGAGTATATTGACCAAAATATCATCTGGAAGAGAACTCAAACGATCTTCCTTGCTCAATATCCTCTCGTAGGCTTTAGAATTGCACATACTTAGGGGGCTAAGGACTAATAAGGTGATGGTATTGGTCCTGTTTTTTTAAAAAAAAAAAACGATGGTATGGATGCTAATACTTCAAAAAAAAAAACAATAATTATTCGAGATTAAATTTATAAAATTATAAATGTTCCATAGCATAGTTAACATAATTATAATTATTGATATAAATAGAGAATATACGTAGATATCACAAAGATATTATCAATTCTCATACAAATATATCTCCTAAACCTAAAAGGAAAATATTATACAGATATTCTTTCAAAAACAAATAAATGACAATTTTTTTTATAGTAAACAGGGGATTTAAATTATTAAAGAAGATCAATTTTCGCCAAAATAGATAAACTTTGAGGAAAAGGACCAATATATAGAAATTCATCTCATCCCCTAGCATCTCACCAATTTCCACAATTTAAATAATTAACATAATTTTTTTTTTTTGAAAAAACAAAATCATCATAATATTATCCAATTCAAAATTAACAAATAAAGTAGTTGAATTAATCAAATAATTGAAAAAACTTAGCCTAAGAGGAATTTTTTTTTTCCTAATAAGGTTCTTGAAAAAATAAGAGATAGAATTGCAAAAAGAAAAGATTGAACTTAAGATATCACGTACAAGAAATATAAAAAAATATTTATTAAAAAATATCGTGCATAAACCTAGTCACATTTAATCTATTTAGAACCCATAATCAAAAGTATACACGATGTAATAAGTAAAAAAATCCTTTAAAAAATAAAAGTAATAAGTATATGTATATTAAAGAAAAATGAGTTGCACTAGATAGTCTAATTATTATTGATTAATAGGTATACAAAACTTATGCACAAAAGATAGGCAACAATCTTCCTAAAAAAAATATATATATTTCAATTCATATGATCTATAGCATATTAATTGTAACTTTAGAATATTTTCAAAGTTACAACTAATATTTTTTTTTTACTACGTAATCATATATTCAAAAGATACATTCACTAAATAATATCTTTAACATACGTCAGACTAAATATATTATTTTCTTAAAAATATCAATATTGAAAATATGTCTCATATATTTTATCTCATATCCCTAACATGCAATCTATAATTAATTTGGGTTTCTTTAAAAATAAATAAATAAATAAATAATTTGGGTGTGTGCTAATATCAGGAAGATACATTGAGAATAAGGGATAACTCAAGTAGTTAGAGCTTCCCTTCCAACTACAGAAGATGTTGGCCTACCACTTGGTTTGAAAAACTTCATATATTTGAGAATGAAGTTTTTTTTTATTTTTATTTTTTTTTGGTGCTGAGAAATGAAGATTATGGCCTTGTTCAACTAGTTATTGGTTGCTAATTTTTTTTAACTATTTTTAATTTTACTTAACTGAAATTATTTTTGCTGAAGTCCAATTATTTTACTGATTCTCTGTTATATTTCTTCTTTATAGTTACCGATTTTTACTGAATTAAATCTATTTTTTCTAGATTAAAATTAATTTTACTGAACTAAAATTATTTTTACTGAACTTAAATTAGTTTTACTGAATAATATTTTTTTAAGGTGCAATGAACCGCCTAACTCTAATAATTTGCAATCCCCATAAATATTGTATAATAAACTTCCCATATTAATATTACTCCCTCCGTCTCTTAATTATATTTTTATTTCTCAATTTACGCGGGAATTAAGGAATTTGGAGTAACCTTAAAGCCCATTATTAGAAAGTTAAATGAGAATTACAAGACATTTATTGATGTCTTTGAATAAAATAAAGATATAATGATATTAAATATCATCAATCCTTTGAAAAGAAAAGAAAAAATCACATTTGTTTATAAAAATAAGGCCCTGTTCTTTTAAGCTTCTGGGCAGAGCAGAGCAGGGGTCAGCGGAGCGAAGCAGATTAGATTTCAGCAGAGCAGAGCAGAGCAAAGCAGATCCGAGTAGAGTAGAGCAGAGCCGAGCCGAGCCAAGCAGAGCAGAGCTGAGCCGAGCAGAGTAGATTTCAACATTATTATTAATACGATTATTAATGTTATTATTATTAATGTTGTTGTTGTTATTTATTATTATTATTACTATTATTATTATTATTATTATTATCATTATTATTATTAAAATTATTATTATTATTAGTTATTATTATTAATTATTAATTATTATTAAAATTATTATTATTGTTATTAATTATTATTAAAATTACTATTATTAATTATTAATTATTATTATTATTATTATTATTATTATTATCTTTAATAATTAATAATTATTATTATTATTAGTATTATTAGTATTATCATTAATAATTATTAAAATTATTATTATTATTAATTATTAAAATTATTATTATTATTAATTATTAAAATTATTATTATTATTATTATTATTAATTATTAAAATTATTATTAATTATTATTATTATTATTATTAATTATTAAAATTAGTAATTATTATTAATTATTAATATTATTATTATTATTAATTATTAAAATTATTTTTAATATTAATAATTAATATAATTATTCAAAATAATAAATTATTATCATCAATACAATATTAATCATTATTATTGAATATTAATATTATTGTTGTTATTATTAATTATTATTTGAAAATTAAGCAAAGCATAGCATATTTTTTTTGAGCAGAGCAGCTCTAAAGAACGGGGCCTAAAAGTATCAATCATATTCAATTATATATAGTGTTGCACATGAATTCAGAATGTTTAAAGGGTGAATGAAAATTATGGTTTTTGTGCAATCATTAATTGCAAAATAAAAAAATTAATTAAAGTAATGTCACATCATAACTATTTAGGGATAATTTGGGGATATTTGGTAAAAAAAATTACTTGCTAAAAAGAGAAAATAAAATTGTAATATTGACCAAAAAAGAAAATAGGAATGTAATTAAGGGAGGGAGGAAGTAGTAAACTATCCATTACTAATCAGCAATTAATTCTCACGTTATTCCCAAAACAAGATTGATGATATTTCCAATTTAATACTCTACTGGTCCACCTTCCTCTCTAATTCAATGGTTAGTTGTGAGTATGTAGTACTTTTCTTTTAATCCTTGAATTGCTTCTAATAGAAAAAGAAATTTAATCATTTAATTTATATGCATCAAATTAATCCAAATTTCTCCAATTGGATTACTCGGTTAACGATCAAAATTCATTCAATGAGGAAAATCAGTCATATTACTCATATATGAGGTATGTCATTTACTATTTTTTTCCCCAATATTGAATAATGTAATTTCATAATTTTCTGCTTTGCTTTGAGTTTATTGTTAGGCCCTATTCAATTCACCTTATAAAAATAATATTCCGTACTATTCAGTAAAAATAATTTCAATTCATTAAAATTAAGTTCAATTCATAAAAATAATTTCAGTTCAGTATAATTAATTTCAGTTCTATAAAATTAATTTCAATTCAGTAAAAATCAGTAACTATAAAGAAGAAACATAATAGATAATCAAAAAATAATTTCAAGGGTTCAGTAAAAAAAATAATTTAAGTTCAGCAAAAATAATTTTAGTTCATTAAAAATAAGGTGAAGTAAACGAGGCTTTACATTTTTTTAAGGGGAAAGTATGTAAAAGAAATCGATAACTCAATACTCCCTTTGTCCCTATTTTTTTTGTCACATTGCAAATATACAAACTTTTTTAAAAATCGGGTGTACAATAATTATTATACATCTTTAGAAAAATAGCCTAAAGTGATCAAAACTTACCCATGAAATGAATAAAAGTTACCCCAATACACATAAAAGTAACCCAATACAAATAAAAATAATCTACACTTTAATTTATTAGTAAAGAATCACATTTTAAATAACTAAAAATCAATTATTAGTGATTGAATGTAATTAAATTACCTTTATAAAATTTTTTTTGTTGTCTATTTATATAAAAATTGTATTTTGCTTAAAGTTACCAAAAAACGACAAAAAATTACCTTAAAATTAGCTAAAAGTTACCCTTATATTGTTGGAAAAAAATTGACAAGAATAATCCTAACTTTTCCTCATTCGCTCAAAATAATCCCAAATTTGGCTCATTCGCTCAAAATAATCCCAACTATCGATTATTTTTTAATAGTCCGAACTTTAATATCAGTTTGCTTTTAATGGTCCCAACCGATTATAAAACTTGTTATAGCAAGTTATCAAACACGTGTCAAGATGAGATTGGTCAAAAAGATAAAAAAAAAAAGAAATTTAAAAAAATTAAAACAAAATTTAAAATTAAAAAACTTCAATTAATCAACTAAAACCCACACCCCTCCCTGGCAGCTCCAGCCAACCCCGGCAGCTGCAGTCATCCTCCGGCAGCACACTCCTGCGCAGCCCAAGACCCCCACCCCCTCCCCCACGCAGGCAACAACCCGCCTTCCCCTCCAACACACCAAAACCCCCCTGAAATCTTATAACTCGAAATTCATAAAAAAATCTTTCCCGCCGCAAAAATCGCCGATTTTCATCCTCGAAACCTTAGCAAATAGGGGTTTTGAGGGTTGGGGGAGGAGCGATGGGTGGTTTGAGAGCTAGGAAAGGCTTTTTTTTAATTTTCTATTTTGGGGATAAGGGAGGGGGTTTCGTGGAATCGTGGTGGGTCTTTGGTGGTTTAGTGGGAAGGTCGACGGCGGGGGCGGCGTAGGGGAGTGGGTCTGGGGCGGTGCTGTTGACGACTCGCCTGGGCTGGGCGGTGGGTGAGGATAGGGATGGGCGGTGGTGGCGCTGGCACTGCTGTGGTGGTTTTTATTAATTAGCTTTTTTTTTTTTAGGAAATTAGGTTGTTTTTTATAAATAGGTAGTTAAGATTATTAATAAAGATTTAATTAGTAACTAAATGAAATTTTAACTTTTTTTTACCAATCATGTAGCAACACATGTACATTAAACTTTTTTAAAAGAAAATTACCTGCTCAACAAGTTACAAGTCACTTGGGACCATTAAAAACAAATTGATACTAAAGTTCGGATT